TTTGTGGTCTGAGTTACCCCTAACCCTCCCACTCAGGCAACATCCAGAGAACCCTGGCCAACGTGTCCGCGCAGTCAGCCCCGCCAGCCTCCTGACCCTGCGCGCAGCCCGGCTGAACTCCACCCACCGCGCGAGTCCGAGCCCTCCCTCCCTCTTCTGTGAGGACGCGCTGTGTTACCTCGGACAAGCTACTTACACTCTGTGCCCTCGTTAGTTCTGGTTTTGTTTTTTTAATTCATGAAGTTTACTGGTAACTTTAGGTACACATTACGATCACGTTCTCCACAGGGCATCTGCACCTGTACATGATAAATCTTGGCTCTCATTTTTTCCCATTTCCCTTCCCTGCCTTCAACCTCTTCACCTCCCCCTCTTTACAAAATCTTTGTTTCCATTTTCCTTCCTTCTCATTTTTTTCTTTCTTTTCTTTCCTTTCCTCTGATCCCCCTCCCTGGTTTCCTATCCCCTTTGAACATTTTCGTCCTATTTCACAATATCTACTGTGCATTTTAGTCCTCATTTATACTATGTCTCACCAGAGAAACAATTTGGTATTTACATATCTTCTATTTATTTCACCTAAAAGTACGGCCTCAAGGTACATCCACTTAGCTATAAATGATGCTAGTTCATCTTTCTTTATGGCTGAGTAGTATCCCAATATATATATATATATATATATATTTTTTTTTTTTGGGTATCAGGGATCTAACTTAGGATAAAAACCACGTCTTCTTTATCTGGTCTCCAGCTGATGGGCATTTGGGCTGTTTCCAGGTTTAGCCATTACAAACTATGTCACGAGAAACATGGGTGCACATATACTGCTGTGGTGTGATGCTTTTCATTCTTTCAGGAAGGTGCCCAGCAGGGGGATAGGATTAGAGGTCCCCTTTGGCTTGCCTTAGATCTATGGAATGGGTGTGGTAATTGCATCCACTTCTCAGGGCAGCTGGATTAAATGAGTCATCCAGAGAAAGGGTTAGGGCAGGGCCTGGTACAGAGCAAACGCTGCACATTTCGGAGTGTCATTCACACGGTCTGTAATGGAGTCGTAAGCTCCTAACAGGCAGGAACCGAGACCAAACACTCAGTTACACACGTGGGAGCTGAAAAGAACTGCACACCACAGACTGATTGCTTCACTGAGCCAGTGGAGTCAACACGGGGCTGTTTGATTTGTGCACTTCTCAGTGACGGCTTTTTTTTTTTTTTTTCTGTCTGTCAATGACATGGCCCAGAGTCCTTTGTTTGCCAGCAAAAGAAACTGACTAGCTGATTTAGGCAGAGAAAGAAAACAAAAGATTTGCACAGAAGTCTAAATTAGAGCTAGGCTTAGCACAGGACAGGAAGCTGGTGGCCCAGGGCCCACAGGCAGGAGTGACAGTGTCATCACCAAGACAGAATGAATGAGGGCCACCCAGCTTTTCTGTCCCTACAGCGTCCGTGCTGGGAGGGAACATTACTTCTTCAAGAGCACTGTGTGCAAACAGTATGTGTAAACTCTCCTGCAGGAGGTGGAACTTGACCCTTTTCCCCTGGGGGCAGACTGGAATTGATTCACTTAAAAAACAAGCAAAAAAAAAAAATGTGCTACCTTAACGCAAGACCAGGGAAAATTGAATTTGGGAGAGGGGTACCTGAGAACTCTTGGACTGTCTTTGTAAACTTACTGCAGACCTGACGTATTCTAAAATAAGTTCCCAGAGAAAAAAGTATACATAGTCCATGATTACAATTGTGTAAAATATGCTTGGAAAGAAAAAATACATAAAAGGAAAAGAAATATATAAAAATAAGCATGCTTCTGTCAGAATGATAGGATCACAGATCGATTATTTTCCCCTTTTTACCTGCTTAGCGAACTTATCTGTAAATTAGTTCGTTTTTATAATTTAAAGTTAATTTTGGAGTCTTAAGAGGAAAGATTTCATCCTTTGAAATGTGTAAGGGATATACAAAAGTATATTTTTATTTGGCATGCAATACTTCTTATGTGAACTTTTAAAAAATTATTTATTTATTTATTTTTGGTTTTTTGAGACAGGGTCTCACTATGCAGTTGAGACTGACCTGGAACTCACTGTGTAGCCCAGGCTGGTCTCGAACTCACAGCGATCCTCCTGTCTCAGCCTCCCGAGTGCTGGGATTACAGGTGAGCGCCACCATGCCCGGCTTCAATTGACTTTGTACAGATTTTACCACTCTCTTCACTAAGATCCTTTCCCATTTCGGGGTCCCATCTAGGAAATAACATTACACAGTTATCATATCATCTCCCTCACCTTGGGCCTGTGATGAAAGCAAGTCTTTCCTTGCTTTTCATGACATTGTTTTGAGAAGTCCTGGCCAATTATTTTATAGAAAGTTCGTTCCTCAAATTGGGTCTGTCTTATGCTTTTCTCCTTAGATTGGGCTTATGAGCTTCCTACAGGATGGGTAGAATTGTGAGAAACACTGAGCTCTTCTTGTCCTTATTAAATCATTTATATCAGTATGGCCTCACGGGTTCTTGACATATTTCCCCTCCCTTTCCTCACACACCGCTGTTGTAAGATGTCCCTTATAAGATCTATAAGATTTGCCAACACGGTGTAGTTTCTAACTAGCTCCTTTCCCCTTCGTGTCATCTGTCTTGCTGTGCGGCAGAATGCCCAACTGAGAACTTAAGTCCAAATGTCAGGTGTACAAAAGCGGAGCTAGTGCTTAAGCACAAAGACAGACACGATTCTTTTGCTTTACACAGTCAAACTCAGCCCCGGTCAGAGTGTGGCGACCACGTTTCCCAAACTCCCAGGGGTGGAAATGTGGGACTGGCGCTGAAGGGCAGGTGTAGTCACAATGAAGCGCTCCCCAGACCCCATCTGGCCAGGATGAGAACTGGGATTTCTCAAATATCACTGGCCCGTGACAGTTAAATATTCTCCGGGACTCTTCTGGTTCTTGTAACCATCATGTTAATGGCTGCATCTAGTTTTGAACTGTTTTCCATTATTAAGTGTTGACTCACAGGTCTGCGATAAACTTTTCTTTTTTTTGGTACTGGATCAAACTGATTTGTGCAGCACCACTGAACTAAATCCCCAGCTGTGGTAAATATCTCTGGAAACACTGCCCTGTGATTCTTCGTAGTCACCGCCCCGGCCTGGTGTTCAGAACACGGAAATAGAAATGGATGCTGCGCCAGCACTGTAACCAGTGGTATTTTTTTCCTTTTGAACAATCTTTTCACTCTTGGCCTCTGAAGATCTAAACTGAAGGTAGAGAACTTGCTGAAAATCAAGCTCCAGCTTCCTGTGGAGCACACCTAGTTTGTAACAATAAACAAAGGGTTTCAGCACACAGTAAAAATGCTACACTGTAGCTGTTTTCCTGTCTCTGGACAACACTGAGCACTGGATCAGCTCCGGCTGTTTCATCCTCTTGTCTAGATTGCAGATACGAAGATCAAAATCCCGAGGGCGCTCTCCGGCACAGTGACACCACCCTAGCTCCTGGCGCAGCCCAAGGCCGGCAGGTCAGTCATGAGGCGAGCGCAGGCCCCGCCTCGGTCGGACTCGGCCTGGTGACAGCCTGGCAGACCAGGACGCGCTGAGTAACCACATGGAGACCGGGGGGCGAGGCAAGAGCTGAGAGAACCGTGCGAAAGATCCTGTCCCCGCGACACGGTGTACTTCTCACCACTCTTGTGCCTGCTGTCAGGCGGGAGGGGTTGTGGGAAGAACGGAACGTTTCCCGAGAGGCTCTCCCCACTGCCCAGGAAGACAGCGATTCACAGGGAATGGTGGTCGGCATCTGCAGCCCACACCACAGGCCAGACCATGCAATGAGACCGGAGGCCCTAGTGTTAGTCAGCTGCACGTTAATCTCACATTTGTGTAAATGTTCTACTCGGCACCCCCCCACACACTTTTGTTTTGTTGAGAGGGTCTTGATGGTCTTAAACGTCGCTCAGGCTGGCCTCAAACTTGAAGCATTCCTCCTGCCTCAGCCTCCTGAGTGCTGGGATGCCCGCAGCACACCCCACACCCAATTGTCTGTCTGCTGAGGCTTTCATGGAGGGAAGCAGTCAGGTCTACTCAAGCTGGCGGAAACACAGAAGAGGGGAGTTACTCCAAGACCCGTCACTCGGGCGGGGCTCAGCTGGGAAGAAGGTGCCTGTGTATCCTCTAAGAGGCTGCTCCCCAAAGCCACCTAAACACTAAGAAGCTTCCTGCCACCTGGGGTCTGCTGCACCACTGCTGTCCCCCACTGACCCCAGCATAGCACAGCTCTCTGCTCTTGTGCCTCGGCCTGAAGCTGGCCCCGGGTGCAGCTCAGTGGAGCACTCAGCACCCCCCGAAATGTCCATATCCTGAACAGTCCAGACCCATCCTCTCCTTCTTTTCTAATTACTTTTTTTTTTTTTGAGACAGGGTCTCACTATGTAGTTGAGATTGACCTGGAACGCACTATGTAGCTCAGGCTGGTCTCGAACTCACAGTGATCCTCCTGCCTCAGCCTCCCAAATGCTGGGATTACAGGCGTGCCACCACGCCCTCACCTAAACACTAAGAAGCTTCCTGCCACCTGGGGTCTGCTGCACCACTGCTGTCCCCCACTGACCCCAGCATAGCACAGCTCTCTGCTCTTGTGCCTCGGCCTGAAGCTGGCCCCGGGTGCAGCTCAGTGGAGCACTCAGCACCCCCCGAAATGTCCATATCCTGAACAGTCCAGACCCATCCTCTCCTTCTTTTCTAATTACTTTTTTTTTTTTTGAGACAGGGTCTCACTATGTAGTTGAGATTGACCTGGAACGCACTATGTAGCTCAGGCTGGTCTCGAACTCACAGTGATCCTCCTGCCTCAGCCTCCCAAATGCTGGGATTACAGGCGTGCACCACCACGCCCGGCCCTAACCACACTCATCTTTAACCCAAAGAACATGGGGCTCACAGAGGGAAAGTGCGGTCCTCTGGCAGCTGCCACTAACACTTTAAAAAGAGTGCTTGGGTACCTTGGGTGTTGGGTAGAGAGAGGACTGGACAGCAGGAGGTGCTGGGCACCCATCTCTTCCCCCCGCCTCCAAGCCAAAAGCTCAAAGCGAAAAGGAAGCACTGTGGAGCCCACCTTTCCCAGGGTGCTGTAAGAATCCACGCCTCCCTTCTCCATCACTGAATACCATGCATCTGTCCACGGTAACAGATGGCACTCTGCTCACCGGTGTTGGGCTCAACAAGTCTGCAAATCTCCACTGCCTCAGTCTCTGCCCTTCCTGGAACTGTATTTGTCCTTAGAGTCACTTGTTTATCTCACAAGTGAGGTAAGCTTGACTGGCCAGACTCCACACCTAACTCAAGGGGGAATTCAAAGACAAGGACATTTTCAGGCGCGGGTGAATAATGATTAGGCTTGGAGAACTATCTTTTTGCTGGTTTGGGGCACACTGGTTGGAGATGACAAAGAGGCACCTGAAGAGTCGTGGGGGAGACGCACTGCACAGTCCCCAGAATTCTCAGACGGGGCCCTGTCAGGTGTACACTCGGGCCCATCTCTTAATACGAAGGCAAGCAGCGGCAGGCAGATTTCATTTACTTGGTTTATTACAGATGACGGTGGACCGTTAAGGCTGTGCAAGCACAGCAGCAAGTGGAAATCCAGCTCGCACTCGAGTGGCGTGGCAGAGCGACAGCTCTATGCAGACTTGCTCCTTTGTGTAACGTCAACAGAAGTGAGAAGGTCAGTGACAGCCTCCTGTGAGTGGAAATGTCTTCCACTCTTCTGCAATGTCTTGAGTCTCGTCTCCGCCTCGGGAGCAAGTCTGTTTACCCTTTATGTACAGAAGGGACCACTCTTCCCTCCTGGGACACGCAGAAGGGCTCCGTCAGGGCCCTCAAAGTGTCTCCCCACGGCAGCCGGGGATTCTCAGGTACTGCGAAGTTGCAAAGTGCTTTCAAAACGTCCCTTCCTCAGCCCTCTCTCCCTGACTCTCAAGTAAATAAACACACAGGGGGTTGGCCTGGGATGACAGCTCAGTGTGAGGGTCGCTCAAACATCTTCAGTCTAAAGGGATGAGGGGGACAGTGACAAACACGGAGCCTGGGAGATTGCGTCTGGTCCTGTGTGACAGGAAACAGGCGGAAGCTTGGGAGTCATCTCTCCTCCAGTGTAGTGACTTGGCGTTAAGTATCTGGGTTTGACCGGAAGTAGACTTCACCACTTTTACAAAGCCCTGAGTCTGAATCGGGGGCCTGACCTCAGTGAAATGTGGGTTTGTTCTCAAAGCTCCCTGAAGGATGAGGGAACTTCTAGTCAGCCCTTCAAGGGCCTTGGCTCTCAGAGGCTAACTGTCAATGGGAGAACCAGCACTGTAGCTGTGACCCAGTGTCCCTTCCACTTCCTCATGAGACCCTGTGCCCCTCCCCACCCCCAGCTCCGGCATACATCAGCTCCCACCAACCGTTTGTGACTTCCGGTTCAGCTTCCAGGGGCAGTGCCCAAGCCATTCTACCAGTGACCAACTATGGGAAGACAAGAACAGTGCACAGGAAAGTCAGTCCCAGAACACTGCCAGGTTAGGGCACAGAGCGGCCACCCTTGGAGAAGCAAACCGGACCAATGTTTCACAGAGCAATTAGGGGTTACAGCAACTTCAAGAACATCACAAACATACCAAGCCCATCGAGCACTTTTCCCATCAGAATGCACATTGACATGGGGATGGGGAGTGTTAAAATGAGCCCTAGGAAAATAACTGAACGAGTGAACGTCAGCAGGCTGGGTAGGGGTAAATGCGTAATTGGTGTTAAAGACTCTTGTAATCCCAAGTAGGCAGGGACATTCACATTCATATCTACAACCCGTCAAGTTTTCTAACACTAGGAATAGCAGGAAGGGTTTTCTCCCACTCTGAGAAAAGAAAGTAGGAATAGCAGGAAGGGTTTTCTCCCAATCTGAGAAAAGAAACTAAGGCAAGAGATCAGCCACCAGGGAGAGTCCCAGCTTGTGCACAGAGAACCGGAGCTGGGCTGTGTCTTCACTGAGAACCAGCATGACCGTCTGACAGGATGCAGCAGTTAGGGACTCACGTTAAGATGGTCCACAGGGCTCCTGGCCTCACCTTAGGGCGGCAGGGACTTTCCTGAGCATGAAAGATGGCACCAGTGTCCAGGAGCTCAGTCACCTGAGTCCCAGACCTAAGGGGAGGCCAGCAGCTCCCCTACCTGGATACGTGCCTAAGTCACAGCTGTGCCCCACTTTCACTGGTACAGGCTGCACTCGGGCCAGGCCTAAGCCTCAGTCATGCTGTTTGCTTCGTGCCCACTGGGAGAGATGAAGAAAGTCAGCTTGGGACACCATCTCTGCCTACAACTCTCTGAAGAGGGACGTCACAGCTGTCTCTCTGAGCTCTAGGACATTAATGACTGCTCTACACAAGCCTGACAGACAACCCCAGGGAGTCCTGTTCTCTGTGCTTCTCAGCATTTCAGGATCCGATGGAGAAAACCCCAGCCCCCACTACGTCAGCAAAGAAGATAGCTGTTTGGGGCCTGGCTCACAGGCTCCAGGGCTAAAAACAAGTGGAGATGATACCGGAGGTGCACTGGACCAGCGCTGGTCCTACGGAGATGGCCGTGCTGACAGAATTGGGCCTTGCCGTCCACTCCCTGCCAGGGGCACTAGAAGCTTCACTCAAGATCGTGTGTCAGTCCTGAGGGAAGGTGCCAGTGCCTCCAAATTAGCCGTCACAGCAGACTGGACCCATCCACCGAACAGAGGTTGGCCCCACGTGGACATCAGGCAAGTCATTAAAAAAATAATAATTTAGAAAAAAAAGCCCCGAGGGCAAAAGACCTTCACAGGGTGGCTCAGTTCTGCATTTTGTGTGACCCCAGCCCCAAGGCAGGGCACAACATGTGCTTCCCTCAGGTACCCTCCAGGACAGTGGCTTCGAGGGTCAGGACCTCTGCAGGTTCCTCCTCGTAGTCGGACAAGTAGGACTCCAGGCTGTGCCTGGCCAGCAGTTCCCGCCGGGCCTGCAGCCGCTCGCACCGAGGACAGCATCCAGACTTGAAGCAGGCCTTGTGGTAGCACGCTTTACATTCTGATCAGGGGAGACGAGAGGGAAGGGAACTTACGTCACCTCAGATGCCACGGCCTCTACCACCACAGTCGGCGCTCTGGCGCTGGGATGCAAACCGTGGCTAACACGGGTGGCTCGGGGGAAATACGTTCACTTATGTTTAGTCTTCCTTGCCCTAATCCTTGAACCAGCACCCACCTTCACAGATCCGGCACTTCTGCAGCTCGAAAGGGAAGATGATGTCTTCCTCCTTCTGACAGAACTCACAGATGAAGCCCTTGGCTTGGCAGAGCTGGGAGGAAGCAGACAGGCAGCCAGTGAGGAACCTGCCTGAGAGGGGACTTCACGGAGCAATGCGAAGAAACCCTCCAGGGGGCAAAGGCGATCCTAGCGCCTCCAGGGATGAGACTGGGCCAAACGGGGCCCGGGCAGGGCAGCGCCAGACAGGCTTTAGGTGGGGACCAGAGCGGCACTGGCTTGGAAAGTCCCTGCAGCAGAGCAGCTCTCAATGAGGAAGGAAAGGAGGAAGGGACGGTGCCACAGAGCTGCAGACTCGATGTGCCAGTCTGGGTAAGGGTTTTATCTTGGCATCACTGCTAATTAAGACGAAGTGTAAAACAAGGCTGCCTCCACAAATCACTATCAGCATCGAGTCAAGTACAGAGTCAAGCACACCCAACTCCCCAGCACACAGGCCTCTACCTGTGCCCCTCTTGAGCTTGAATTCTGGGATTGCCTGCACAGAAACACAAAGTGCACAGAGGCTGAGATGGAGAGATTTAAAATAGAAGTTCTGGGGCTGAGGCAGGACGACCACCACGAGTTTGAGGCCAGCCTGGGCTGCACAGTGAGTTCCAGGGCAGCCTGAACTATATAAAAAATAAAAATAAAAATGGAGTTTCTGAATTTCTGGCATGTTTAATTTACCATGGACAGTAATAACTGTACTTGAAGAATATCTGAAAGGTTACAAAATGCTGTCACATTAGTAACTTCATCAATGCTCAAACATACTGAGAGGAAAAGATAGTGTGGACAGTATTCTCATTTTGAGACAAGGAAACTGAGGCAGGGAACATGATTTCTTTCGGTGACACTAACTGAAAGGGCTTCCCTTCCCACACGGGAGAGTTCTTCTGTGGGGCGATGCCAACCCCAATTCCTGCATATGACCGAGCTGCTCAGACCGGGCGAACAGCGGCCCTGTCCAGTTTCACCCGCAGTGCTGACTGGCCCTTTCAGCTTCCTGAGCAGAATGACAAGGACCCAGGTCCACCCCACTCCCCAGCCCTGAGTGAAGGCCGCTCTGAGAGTCGGCACGAGGTCTCACCATGCATCGCTCCACATGGGCAGCCCCTGCCTGGGTGAGCTCGGTGAGCCGCGGCCCCAGCTCCCCCTTCTTGGTGGCGGTCAGGTCATTCAGAGAGTACAGGTGGAGGTCCTCTGTCAGGTGGCCTGGGACTGTGTCAAAGGAGTCCAGCAGCCTGTCGGTGAGCGGCAGCACACGGGGAAGGGAATGAACATTTTTGCGTGGTACACTGTAGCAGAAAAAGCCCTATTCAGCCACAACAGAGAGGAGCTATGAGGGTGGGTGACATCTGCTGGCCCAACTGTTCCGGTCACCCCAGCCTTCCCACACCAACAGGGATCTGGATGGCAGAAGTGACTTCATTTATAACCTCGTACAGAGTAACCAATGCCAGCTTACAAACAGCGGTGCCCACACTGAACAGAATAACCACAGATTCACCCACCCTAGAGGGCAGCAACAGTTACTGCTGTGGCTTCTTGTTCACCACTTCTGGACATTTCTACAAAATCTCCCTACTCTCTTTCTCTCTCCTGATAACACCGGAGCCGCCTGCTGAGACGTGACCCATGAGGACATAACTCAGCCAGAGGACTCCGCCCGGACTTACTCCTTGGCCAGTCGGCACGTCTTGAACATGTTCTTCATGTGGTACAGCTGGATCCGAAGCAGCTGGGGAGAAGACATTGGGGTGGGGGTTTGGAGAGAGAGGACTGTGTGTCAGAAAGGCCAGTCATGCAGGTTTCCCTCCTATTTTCTTCTCAGTAATATTTTCAGTTAACGAGAAATTCTGCTTTTGCCGTCAAATGCTGTCTATAGCTTCAGACCTGCTGCTGCAAGTTTGGGGCTCTGACAAGACAGATATCTAGGAAATGGAAAACTGTCAGAAGGCCGACAGATGACAGAAGGCTGGGGTGCAGCTTGGTGGTGAAAGGCTTGCCCAGCATGTGTGAAGCCCTGGATCCCATCCCCAGAACCACACAAAGAAACGAAGAATTACAAGTTAAGTAAACAGAGCAGGACGCCAAAGGAGATGGCTACAGCTAGACCAGCATGGCAACCTTGGGAAGCCCTAAGAGACCACAGAGGGCAGGGCGGGACCTTGTCCCAGCCTTACCCGCACTTGGTTGAGCAGCTTGACCTTCCTGTAGAGGGCGCTGTTGATATCCTGCACGTTGAAGAGGGGATCATTCCAGATCTTGAGCAGCAGGTCCTTGGAGAAATTGCTGACGTAGTACTTGCTGAAGTCCCACTTGCGCAGGACCCGGCCAGGAATGACCATCTGGGCATTCTCATGGCAGCACTGACAGAAGTACTTGCCTAGGTACTCACAGTACCTTAGCCGCTTGATGTAATCTGGAAGAATGGAGGGCAGATGTGAGGCAGTTCTGCCACTCCTCAAAGGGAGGGAGGGGCCGGCCTGTGGCCACCAGTCACCTTCTGCGGAGCCAGCGGAAACCCACCCAGGGGCCTGTGGACCCTACATCCTGGAGACCACAGAGGAAACACAGCTGCCAGAGTTGGTGAGACGCAGCCTCCAACTGCCCTGCTTCCTCCAAGGACAGTTCCCCTCCGCTGGCCACGGCTCTTGCTAGTTCTCCTCCCCACCAGGCCCCTCTTCCTTTCTCTCCAGTTCTGCCCTGTCCCGCTCCTACTGCTCCTGACAGGCCCCTTTCTCTGAGGTGTGGGAGCAGGCACAGCCCTTGGGCAGCATGGAGCCAGGAGGCCTCACCAGGGTCAGTCCGGATGCCGCACCCCGCACAGCGGTAATTCTGCTTGGCTACAGCGATCTTTCTCCTAGGGAAAGGCGAAGGGGTGTTGGCAGGTGGCTGTGGGAAGCCTTGAGGTACAAAGGAGGAGGGTACGACTCGGGGGAGAGAATTCACCTGAACCTTTGGACAGAGCTGAGGGTTGGAAGGTTAGGGTTAGATCTTGGCAGTGGCTCTCCCCAACTATGAGTCAGATTTTCTGTACAACAGAAAGGCAAAAGAGCAACAGGGCAGAAAGGTATCCAACCATCTTACAGAAACGAAAAATCAGTAAGCTCATACACTGACAGGAGAGCGGCAGCAGGCTGGGAATGCCAGTGAGGTGTGTAACAACAAGTTAACTCTGGACAGGATCGGAAAGATGAAGAGTAACACAGGAAGTGCGGGTGGAAGCCGAGACCAGAAGAGAGGGCGCCGGTCCTGACATCCCCAGGTGTTCCTGTTTCCCGAAGAGCACAGCGTGGGGACTCACGTTGGGGCTGGATGGACGTTAAAAATGATCTGAGGCCGGGGTGGGGCCCATTCCAGGTTGCCACGCACACGGATCCGCAGCTTATAGATGTCTGCATGCTGCCCGTCATCTGGAGAGATGGGCAGGGAGTCGGGGATGGGCAGGAGCTGTGGGAGAGAACACAGGGGAGCTGGTGAGGACAGGCTGGGAGCACAGGCTGGGCCCTTGCGGCCATGACAGAAAGTCACTTCAGGAACACCACAGGCCAAGGACTTCAGGGAACGCTGGCCTCAAAACAAGCCAGAAGGTGCCGCAGACTCCAGGAGCCAAGGAGCTGAACAGCAACTGCGTCCTGGAGCAGCGGGTCTCACCCCAGGAACCCTGGTGTAGCAGGGGGTCTCAGGCCTTCGAGCTGTTTTGGCAGTGTCTCAAATTTAGCCACAAAACAGGAGCTCCGGCTCAAGCTCTGTGAGCAGGAGGTCAGCAGACTCCATAACATCCGCTTTTAATGACTGCTAGGAAAACCGAGACAGGCATCCATCCATCCATCCATCCAGGCATGCGTTCGTCCAACGCATTTGTAACAGATGGCTTTCATGCATAAGGGAGGACACCGGAGAGCGATGAACAGCGGGGCTCCGAGCCTACCTTCTGGGGGGCATCATGCTCTGGGACCAGCCACTCCAGCTCCGAGGCCGCCGGAAGCTGCATCCCCTCAAACTGCTTCAGAAGCCCCATGGCCACCGCCTCGGCCGACGTGGAGTGCAGGACGCAGTGGGATCTAGGGAAGTAGGGAGCGAGGGGAGCTGAGCACAGGGCGAAGACAGGACAACCAGAGGCTCCCTCAGGACCTGAGACTGCCAGAGGGAGCTGTCCAGCTTCCTTCCTCTTCCTCAGACACGTGCACGGTCGAAACACTGGTCTTTGAGTCCTAAAACTCGGGTTCGAATCTCACTACCATTGCAGGAAGGGCTCCATAACTTCCTTTCGCTGGACTTCTTCCAAAATAAAGCGAGGGAAACTGTTTGAGATGGGCCGGGGATTTAGCTCAGTGGTTCCACCGCCTACCTCGCAAGTGCAAGGGTCCGAGTTCGATTCCCCAGTACCAACAAACAAAAATAAGACCTGTTTTAGTTATAATGGGCCATCCAAATGGGCGACTACTTCCTCCTCTAGCTGGGTCTGTGCTACAGCACGTGCTCAGTTTGATTTCATGATCAAAAAGTCACAATCACCACTGTCTCCCAGGACTTTGATCTTCTGGGATCACCAGTTATGACAGGAGTCGTCAGAGGAAGAGTAAAACATGCTGTGACCCTGGTGTCCATGACAGTCCACTCCACTGAGACCAAAGGCCTTTCCTCCGTTCTTTCTTCCTGGCAGTTATCCCTGTGTCCTTTTATATCAGGATGGCTCTACCCATATGCCAAGACTGGGTTTGTTTCTCCACCTACCCCAAGGATACTAAAAAAATAAATAAACTACTCACAAGGACTGGGAGGTAATGAAAGGTCTGCTGTTCGAGGCTGTGCTCCCTTGGATGTCGGCATCTAAATGGAAACCAGAAGTAAGGGGAACAGGAAGAGGATCGAAAGGAGAGCGAAGATAACAAAACCATCAAGAGTGCTGCCCGCTGAGCGCTTGAGGTGCTCACTCCATGCTGTGCGGGGTCAGGGGCAGGAGAACTCGAAACACAACTCCCGATTTGGTTCTACTCAAGTCACAAGCAGGCTGAACTAGAGAAGTACACAGAGCACTGGGAAGGTCCAAGAGGTTACAAGTCCAGGTGGGAACTCAAACTCGAGAGCTGGTATAAAATAGTCAATGAGAAGAGCAGACGTCTTCAGGCACCCAGGGACACTACCTCTAGCAAGCAGAAGAAGCACAAAAGGATGACTCAGATCTCTCTTGGTCTCTGAATTTCAACCTTTCTTAAATGGTCACAGAGGCCAGAACTCTATCTGGCTTCTTTTTCTTGCCAGCACTGGGGACTGAACCTAGGGCTGTTTTGTTTTTTGGTTTTTGTTTTTGTTTTTTGTTTTTTTTTTTTGAGACAGGTCCTCTCTATGTAGTTCAGGCTGGCCTCAAACTTACTATGTAGCCCAGGCTGGCCTCGAATTTATGCAGTCCTCCTGCCTCAGCCTCCCAAGTGCTGGGATTACAGTCATGCACCACCACACCAGGCTCAAAGTGCTTTTTGCATAATGGGTTTTCAGAAAATATTTCCTAAATGAATTATTAATCAACTAAAATTAAAAGCTTTTGCAATTTCATCTTGTTTGGGAGTACTAGAGAAGAAAAAATGAAAGAAAAATCTTAGATAATCTTAAAATGCTAACCAATTTTGTTACTTTAGAACTTGCTACACACCACAGGGGGGAGAGGTTGGGAAGTCATAGTTGCTGAGGAAACCAGTCTCCATAAAAGCTGTAATCATGTGCCACACAACAATGTTTCTGTAGATAAGAGTGATCCCGTCCAATGATATTGTCCAGAGCCAGGGTAGCCACCTTAATCTGTGTAAGTATGATGTTTGTACAAAATCATCTAATGACACATTTCTAAGAATGTGTCCCTGCATTTAATCAAAGTATGACGATATTCAGCAATTTTTAATTCTCCCAGAAAGGAAGTCTTTTTTTTTTCCTTTGAGAAACAAATCATTCTTTTCTCTTTAGAACATATTATCAAGTCAGATTTTACCATTTTTAGCCAGGTGTGGTGGCACACAGGAGGCTGAGGAAGGAGGATCGCAGGGAGTTGAAGGCCAGCCTAGCTCACATAGTAAGTTCAAGGCTATCCTGAACTACATAATGAGACCCTATCTCAAAAAAAATTTACCAAGTTTCTTCCGCTTACCAGAGGTACAAAGAAGTGGCAGGATTTCTTAGCCAATCAGGAATATTCCAAGACTGTGGAAAACAACCCTGTGGGGTAAGAACCTTATCCCAGCAGTACCTGGGAACAAAACACCTGTCCTGATCAGGTGCCCCCCAGTCCTCCTGGGGTAGTGCTACATCCTGACGACTCTGCTCAGTTGAAAAAGAGGACCAAGTTGACCTGGATAGACACTAGTTGAGGGTGTGGGTAAAAGTAGATCAGGGTCACTAGGTGTGGTGATGCATGCCTGTAATCCCCAAACTCAGGAGGCTGAGGCAGGAGGGTCACCTCCAGTTTGAGGCCAGCCTGGGCTTCACAGTGAGTCCAAGGCTGGACTGAATTATATAGCAAGATCTTGTCTCTAAAAAACACCATAGGCGGGGGGCAGGGATTTAGCTCAGTGATGCCATGCCTGACTCACAAGCACAAGCACAAGGTCTTGAGTTCGATCCCCAGTATTGGTGGGGGGAGGACAGTAAGGGTCTAAGACAGCTAATGACGAAATAAACAGGAAAGAGAAAGTCATTCAATTCCAAATAATAGCACTTGAGGGGCCCGGAATGTAGCTCAGTGGGTTCTGCCACTTGCCTTGCAAGCGCAAGGTCCCAAGTTCAATCCCTGGTACAAACAAGCAAACAAGCAAAAAAACAAATAACAGTACTTGAGAAAAAATTCTAGGAAACTCATCTTCCGAGTAAAATTTAACCTAATTATAAAACTTGTTATGGATTTCTTGTTCAAAAGCAAATTATTTTCCTCCAAGAAAACTGACTTCAAGTGTTTGAGGTGCTTTAGATATTTTAGAATAAAGCTATTATTACAGACTGAAAAAATGTCAGAAAATATAAAAATGAACAACAAAAACAACTGACGATACGTCCTAAGAAGAATGGGCTGTGTGTCCGGACAATGGTTAAAAATTAGTTCTTTGCAAATCTGCAAATTTCTTAGGAAATTTTGCAAATTTCTTTAAAGAAAGAAAAAAAAAAGATCCAAAAGGATGGGAGAAGCAACTGACTACCTTCTTGAATTTGGATGTAATTTTTAAAACATCAGAAATATAGTTCCCGAATGTTCCTTTTTATACATTATGGCAGCTTTCGGAGGACTGCCCTTTGCCTCCCCTTTCTGCTCTTTCTGGTCTTTGACGTGTGAGTCAGGCCAGAGCCTTCGCTACCATCTGTGTGACAATTATTAAAAGGGCAGCAAAGTGATGAGACTGATATTCTACACATGTTCCTCAGACCAGGACTTGCTCCTCAGGCTGAGACGCTTTTGGGAACTCACATTCACAGGCAGGCTCACTACAGCTTGGAAGACAGCTACTGCCAACTCCCCCAAGCCCGGCCTCAGGCGCCTCCAAAGGCAGTGGCTCCCCCAAGGGGCGATGGTCACAAATCTGATTCTTGGTAGGAAGGGTTCCTACTGGCATCCAGCACGTAGAGCCAGCCGCACATCACAGCTCCTGCCACCAAAGAATTACACAGCCCAGAGGCCCCAACGCTGCCTGAGCACTTTTCCTTTCAGGGATTCTGCTCTGAAGTGACTAGGAAATTCACTGATTCCACCACTCCCTGGGGCCAGGGGCTGCAGCAAGTTTCCACCAGGAGCGCACTTGGGTCTCCCTCGGGGCAGGCTCCTTCCAGACTGACGCTTTCCCTGGCTCCTGCTTTGCTTCGGGGACACTGAGCAGCTGGATGGACTGCGCCGTACCCACTCCCGCAGCACGTTCCGAATCTGCCTTAATTGTACCCCCCTGGGATTCTGCTGCTCATCCTGAAGGAGAGGGTGGAACGCTCTGATTTTCTTCTAATCTGGAGAGCAAGTCAGTCACAGGCTGTGGTGTAATCAAACATATATATTTGGTCTGTCTCCAGGTTCTCCCCAGAGCTCCCCAAACCCTTGGGTTTTTCTGAGTGGTAGCAGTATCTTTTCTTATTCACAAGGAGACCCTTCTGACCACACCTTAGGGTGGGCTCATGCAATGACTCTGTAAGCCCGATAGCTTCAGATGGGGCTGGCCCAGAAGAATCAACCACAGGAGTATCAGGCAGGAACCCTCACTCCCCTGCCCTCCTGGGGCAATTACCAAAGTTGGGTTACCAAAGGCTGATGATGAAACTGCAACGAAAAACAACGCAGCAACCAGGTGAGGGGAGCATCCCAGTACACAACCATGTGGATGGACTAGGAGGCAGCACCCCTAAACTCCAAGGAGACACAGAGGTCCCTCGGCTGCGGACTCTGCAGGACCCTGCCCTCCTACGTCTCTTTTCATGTGGCTATTCATTTGTATGCTTTATAATAAACTATAATTTTTTTTTTTTTGAGACAGAGTCTCACTATGTAGTTCATGTTAGCCTTGTAGTTTATGTAGCCCAGGCTGGCCTCAGATTTGCTGTGATCCTCATGTCTCAGCCTCCTGAGTGCTGGGATTACAGGTGTGTGCCACCATACTCAGTTTAAACTATAATCTTAAGTACAGCCCTTTCCTAAATTCTGAGAGTCATTCTAGAGAAGTCTCATACTGAAAGGGCTCCTGAGAATGTGTGAATTTGCGGTCAGTAGCACAGAAGTGTGGGGAACGCACTGGCATCTGGCATCTGGCACAGGAGTGATCTAGGGAAACTGAGCCCTTCACTCGTGCATCTGTGCTCACTCTAGGTAGCCAGTGTCAGAACCAACTGGAGCTCACCTATGCGGTGTTAGAGAACTCAAGAAATGTTGCTGGAAAGCCACACAGGAAGAAAACAAGGACTGTTAAGCGACCACCTTATCATGCATAGAAACTAGCTACATTAAAGGGACCACGGAAGGTGGAAAATATGCGTTAAAAATCTGAATTTCTGAATGGGAGAGCAACCTGGCTACTTCACCTGGAGGTCTTGCAGATGCATGGGTTCTCTAGCATGCAGTAGGAGAGCTTTTCCTCCTCGCTTTACAGTGTCACAATTCAGACACAATTCAGGGAAGAGCTTTGGTTGCTATTCGTCTCGAAATCTATGACTTGTAGGGACAGAACAACTGCCTTTCCTGACAGAGGCCGCTCCTGGCCTCCAGACCGCCGCTTCCACCAAGAGCCAGGGATCCACGGAGCAGGTTGAGGCTGTTGGTGCAGACACAAAAGCCCCACTTTGTAAGCTGGACTTTCACTTTCTTTTGATTCTTCTTGTCCTTTCTCTTAGGGTTACACTATAGCTCCTTCTGAATACTTCCAAGTAACCTCAGTTGTATCACGGAGCCCGGAGAGTAGGATTCTAATTTCATGCGGTGTGGGTCAGCCGGATAGGGCAAGAGGAATCCGAGTGCGTGACAACCCAAGAGGAAGGAAGAGGAAGTGAGGAAGGGCACAGGGAGACAGGCAGCCCACGCCACCACAGCATTTCCTTTCAAGTTCTCTTCTGCTTAGATTTTATTTATTCGGCTTATTTTATTTCTTTTTGTTGTTGTTGATTTTTGAGACAGGGACTTGTTACAAGGCTGGCCTTGAATTTAAATTTGAAAGGGGTTTTGTTTTTAGCAAGAGAAAACGCCCTTTACAATAACCAACATTCCCTAACAGGCCATAAAGAAGATCTCCCACTTTGGAGTCTCACAGCCTATGATTCCAAATGGCAAGAAACTTAGTAATGAAAGTTTCTTAGGAACAAAAGGTCGCTTCTTACCTTGGATTTCAAGCTCATCAACCTCATCAGTGGAGCCAGAGTCAGAGAACTGTGTCGAATCCCGAGAGCTGAACTGGGAGCTGCTGGAGGTAACCTGAAAGCCTGTTGTATTAAAAAATAGTAACAATAAATAGGATAAAGAGAGGTCTCCTGTTCCTTTCCCCATCACTGATCCCTCAAAAGGCTTTTGTTTTGTAAAAGGGTTTCGCTATGCAGCCCAGGCTGGCCCTGAACTCCCAATGATTCTTCTGCCTTAGCCACCGAGTGCTTGCACCATCACAGCCAGATCCTTTAGAAAGTTTCATGTAATACAACACACTACACTTAGGAAACAAATCTGGAAGGAGTCTTAGTTCCTTTCATGTCAAAGCCTATTTCACAAGGAAGCTATTTCTGATGTCAGAAATAGATGAACTCTAGGGTGACTATTCTTAGTCTGGCTAAAAAAAAAAGAACAGCATAGTAATATCTTTCTGAGAGCCTTCGGCTTGGGGGTAACAATCTAAAGGAAGACCAGAAGCTGGGCGTGGTGGCACCCACCTGTGATGGAGGATCACAGTGAGTTCGAGGTCAGCCCGAGCTACAAAGTGAGTTCAAGGCCAATGAACTAACTAGCAAAAACAAAACTCGAAAAAAAAAAATAAAAGAAGTCCAGAAACCAAAATCCCCAAGATGCTGATCTGTAGCGAAGCCCTGAGGAGCAGCACAAGGGAGCCCAGCCACACTCACTGCCGCGCTCTGTCTCCTGGTACTCCGGGAGCAGGTTCTTGGTGCGGATCTGCCGGCGCCGGAGGCGGATTTTCTGCTTCAACTCCTGGATCTCTCTATCGCTGTCCCCCTCCTCTACCTCCTCCTCCTCCAAGCACTGGTTCATCATGTTGCACTTCATCAGCTCGATGGCTGCAATCAGGGACTCGGAGATGCTGAAGTGGGCGTTCTCCTGCAGAGGAGGGCACCAGAGAAGTCGCCTGGTGGGGCCTTGAGGGACTGAAGGCTTCGCTGCCGAGCACGCTGGGAGGTCAGAGCTTCCAGCCATGCCCTGCTCTTGCCAGAAACACTCAGAGAAAGCGAGCTCTCTCACAAGGAAAGCCATCAGCAGAAACCTGTTCCATCTTGGATTCTCCTTGCTCTCTCCTTGCCCACGCCTGTCCCTTCTTCCTCCATTTTCCACAAAAAATGAGAAGAGACCCTCTGCAGGTTGGCCAGGAGCCCCTGCAAATACGTTTACAAACCAAGGCACAGTGCTCCCTGACCACCTTGAAGCTCAGGCCTCTCGGGCAGTAACTCTTTCACCATGACGGCCATGGTGAGATGCACAGCTGCCAGCAACACCGCCACACCTGAGGCCGGCGTGGTGCACAGGCCGACTGCTTCAGCAGATAGCCGGAGTCCCCAAGCAGCTGCAGCCTGTAAGGAGAGGAGGAGGAGCTCCAGAGCTTCCGGAGCATTCTCATGAGGGCTCAAAGCACAAGGGGAGATGAACTGAGTCAACTTCTGAAGAAGATAAAGCCTGAAATCACTGGGAGATGCTTTTTGGGTCTTGTGACTGCTGTTAAAAATATTTTGTTTATGGACCCGATAACATCTAGAGCTCTAACATTTTTAAACCCAAGCCCCTAGGACACTGTAGCTCTTTGTAGTCCTTTTTCTTAGTTTTTTTTTTTTTTTTTTTTTTTTTTTTT